CCCCCCCCCCCCCCCCAGTTGAAGGTTTGGATCCGCCACTGACAATCAACAAAATTAAGGAATTCTTGAGAAGCAATGTTAGCCGAGCAATTGGTTTTCGCTGGGCAAGCACCTCGGTAGCCTGGGTTCCACTCCCTTCTCGGAGTAACATATTACAGTTGAGTTACTCATTAGTTCTCTCCTTACTCCAAGAGTATTTTTCATTTTCTTTCTATCCCAGAATGTCGCTAACACCAAGAAACTACATAATCTAAACTCAGTTCTATCTGGGTTCTGAATTCGTCAAGTTTCTTGCGTTCAAAAGGTAATTCAAATCTCGCTCGATTTTAAATCTTGTATTTCCTTTCTAGACTAAGGTCACTTGCAGGTTTGTTTGTGCAAAAAAAAAAATTGTTTTTGTTACTGAACCAATGGATTTCCTCTTTTTCGTCTTCCCTCACAGTGAAAGAATGATCAAAAGTAAAACAACCACCCGAAACGACAACAGTTTGCACCTTTGACAACCTTCAGTTCCACATTTTAATTGAATGTATTGAACGCTGCACCAAAACCTACTGGGAAAAATGAAAGAGGGATGCTTCGTTGTACATGAAATATAGAACAATGTTTGTCTGTGGGGCTTTTTTCTTGCTCACTTCTCGCGAGTTGTTTATAAGTACATGCAACATGTAGAGCTATATGAATAAATAATGACCACCAACCGCCAAAAGTCAGCCATATTTAAAAGCCCACTTCCGATTATCATGGCGAAGTGGTTATGGCCTTACTCGAGAGTAACAGCTTGTCACTTGAGATAGAACACTGGCTGCTTTGCTAAGATGTGGCCTTGAATACCGCTCTCAATGAGGGGAAAGCAAGCTCAATTGTGTGGCGTTTCCTCGATTTCTCAAATTCTAAACAATTCGTTTGGTTTCAAGTATGAGGACTTGGTTACTGTGTGATTGAAGGGTCGCTATCTTCACACATGACGAGGGAAAGACGTTATGAGTTTTACTTATCTCCTTAGCTTGACTATCGCTCAAGAAAGGGCCTCGAGGAGAGAAACTGATGCTGAGGAACTAAACACAAACGAAAACAAGACCTGTATACCTCGCCGTGTACTTATTACTGTGTTGTACTGCGGTTGTTTCTTTTCTTTTGGGACTACAATGGCGATTCTAGGGCCTACATTGATCGAGCTAGGTCATTTAGTTCACCATGGCTTGGATATGATGAGTTGGTTGTTCTTTACACAGGCGGCGTACGCTCTGCTTGGAGCGAGCGTAGCTGGGATTTTATTGGACAGGTAACGTAGATTTATCAAGGATCAATCAAAATGTCAACAAGCTAAAAATCAGTGTTGCTTTTCACGAATATAATCTGTTAGTCTCTTAATCCTACTTTATTAAACAGCTGCTAAGTATCCCGCTATCTTAAACGCAAGAGAAAAATTCATAAAGCTATATCAAAATTACTGCGCGTCTAACCCTAACCTGACCCAAACTCACCGGCTCGTCTCGCTACCTGTTTATTTATATGTAAACTCATGGTTGATTAAGACAATTTCGAGAGGGTCGCATCCAAAACCCGTTATTGAAATGACAGAGAAACTCAATTAGTATTCAAACTTGTCTAATCAAATTATATTGAAATGGTTAGTATTGACTTTTCCCTTTCATGATCATTTGAAAATCGTTCAAAACTTTGTTTGTGTGTCTTATTCAAATGTTGACTTTAATTCCCATGGTGCCTTACGAGATTACCTCGTTGTTACTACCAGATCCTCCAGTGTAAGTTGTTAGAAGAAGTGCGGCGGAGGAAGATCCCAGACTCCCACCTCAACTCCCAAACAAAAGGCCTGGTTTAGAGCATTGTTGTGCTACCGTCAAATCAAATATTTAATCGCCAGTTTTAAGTTCCAAAAAGGAAGAAGATGAGTTTAAGATTTCCATTCACTGAGTTATCACTTGATTTCTTTTACAGTGCGACTACTCCAACCAAGGTCACCCGAAAAAATTTTCTGCAAATTTAACGAATAAAAATCGGGCGGGTTAACAATAGTTTTCCGACAAATTATCCAAAATGAATACAAATCTATTGCCTTTGTATAATGTACAGCTTGATTACAAGCATAATATGTTGGAAAACTATTGTTTTAACTTCCACGATTTTTGCTCGTTAAATTTTTGGAAAATTTTGTCGGGTGGCCTTGGTTGGAGTAGTTGCACTGTAAAAGTCATTATCTGATGATTGAGCAAAAACCAACAAGTAAGGTTTTCTTTCTTCCCGGTTAAAAGAAATCATGTAATGATGGCTCGACATACATCAGTTAATGCTGGTTTACAGCATATACTCCATTGTGACTTCACAACAAGGAAAAAACATCTTGAAGGATTATTAGTTCTTGCCATTTTTAAACAGGTTTAAAAGATCAAATGTAAACGGGCCACTTTGGTCTACCTGCTTCACAGCAGGTTGTTAAACAAATATGTTTCAATACGCTGATTGTTTGAGTGTTATTTCGTTGTTTTCTTTAAACAACAAACACCGAATTGCGTACCACATTCAATACGGAATATCTACCTTAAGGGATACCACAGACAACAGCGCGAAAAAAGGTAACAAGTGAAACTGTATCCAACCATCGTGACAGTGTGAGTTCCCATCGGGACGTATGCAGACAGAGGGCAGGTTCAACCTGTAATTCTGTTTGTTGTAACGTGGCTTACAACATAGCCGAAATTTTAAAACGTGCGCTTCAGACCCTTAAAATGTAACACAGGAATTGTAATGACGTAATAACTGGATTCTAGTCACAGGAGGACACAGACTGGTCTAATCACAGCATCCAGATACTTTCAAGGAATCGAATAACAGTCTTAGAATAATTGAAGTCTCTGGCCGACTACAAGTTCCCATTTTGCCCTGACACTCACGAGGTCTTGAGCGCAGCAACACAAATCAGTCCGTCATGCTTCGGCAAGTGATTTTTCCAGTAATATGGCTACGGATCAAGTCGTACGCGGATCAAGTGGAGGATCTAAGGAAGAGTTGTTCGCCATATTGTCGATCAAGCTTCGCCCATTTTCTCTACTTTAGCACGTTTTTTATGTTCGGGATGTCCGTGGGAATGGCAGGGCCCACACTTACAGATTATTTGATCTCGTTTTTTACCAATATTGACATTATAGATGCGTTAAGTTGGCTTTTATTTACGCAATCAACTCTTCGCTTCGTGGGCGCAATTGTCGCTGGTACCCTTATAGACAGGTATTACTGGTTTTTGATTTCGTTCTTAACTTAAGACTCAACAGGTTTAAAAATACAGTATTTATACATTGTTTTTTTTTTTTTATATCATAAGAACCAATAGAGCAGTGTACACCTAAACATAAACTTGGCTTTCAATAACTTTTGAAGAACGTAGGAACAACTTCGGTTATATCTACTCTGATCTATCAACGTCAACCATTGGCTTTTGAGACTCTTTTGAGAAGTTTCCCAGAATCTTACCAAACTCAACTAAATAAAGACCATGCTATTTTTCTTACTATCACAAAAAGCGGCGCGTTTCAAGAAGTCTCTTTTTAAACCCAGCGCTATATTTCTAGTTGTAACAATTTCTATTGATAAAGAATCCAAGACGTCGCGAAGTGAGACAACATAACGTATTATTCTACAATCTGTCCACAAACCTTCCATTCCTGATCGCCACAGTTCAACGAACGTGCGTGTAAAATATAAACCGCGGGAAATTGGGCAAGCGCAAACTCAACGGGGGTAGAGCGAGAAAACCTTTGGCTTAGCATAATATCAGGGAGGGGAGGAAGTAGCAATACTCCAAGTCGCCTTATGTTATAGAAACAAAAGCTACGCGCAGGCTTTATATACAGCACTTGACCAGTGTGAGCAAGATTTTATTTTACATAACTTTTTTCATTTTATTTCTCCCCAGATACGACATTAATCGGAATCTGCTGCTACTGTGTTTTCTGTTATTGAATGCCATTTTCTTGGCAGTGATTCCTATGTGCCGAACACTGTGGCTTTTAATCTTATCAACAGCAGCTGCGGGATTTTCGGTCGGAATTCTGGACACTGCAACTAATGTACAGCTTATTGCAATACACGGAAAAAAGGTAATATAAAGAGAGATCAGGAGGACTGCTATGTTGTCTTTGTGTGGCACCTTACTCTCGCAATGCCTCTCTCCACCAAAGAGTATGAACGGGTATTAGTGAATTTCGCGGGTAATCTCCCGAAAATGGGTTGCTTGCGATGGACTAGCATTCCATTAAGGGAAGTAACGATTTTCTTTGTCGATACATGCTATATATGGTGCATAAGCTGCTATATATGGTGCATAAGCTACACGTAGCCAAGCTACGTGTACTACCAAGTGGGAAGAGCTTTGGTCGTGAAAATTGTCAGTTTTTTTAAAAATATATTTTAGTGATAATCAATTATTTAATTTTTATCATTTTATTTTTCCAAAGGTTTCCCCTTATTTGCAGGTGAGTTAAAAACTTTTTACGTCTTTTTTATTTTCTTCGTGTTCTGCAGCCTGGAAGCATAGTACACTTTCAAGAGCGCGAATGTTTTTAAGTGGTGGTGTTAAACTTTTAAAATAAAATCTTTGTCGATCTTAAATAAAGCAAAATATGAACTCGTCATTGCCATGCATTATTTTAAAGAGATTATTTGACTGTGAAAATAGCTCAAAATCATTAAAAATAATAGAAATGCCTATACATCTACACAGACAAGTTGATGCAATGCATTGTTACTGTACGAAGAAATTGAATGTTTGTCACTCTGGCAATATAAAACATTGTTGTTGTTGTTGTTGTTGTTGTTTTTTTTTTCAGGCTCTTTACTTTTCATATGGTTTCGGCGCATTTGTGAGCCCGCTCATAGCAGAGCCATTTCTCAGCGGTACACCCCATCCAGATCTCGGGCTGCCGGCGGCCAGGAGAGGGAATCCGCTACCATACGGTGGAATGGGACATCGCAGTCACCATAAATTATCTCACAGACCAACCAATCACTTGAGAGATACGTATTACCCTGGATCGGAGCAATACAAGAGCGAAGTCCAGGTTGCATACTGGATTATAGCTTTAGCACACGTGAGTCTTTCAAATCTTGTTCTTCTTCTTTACTGCAGTCTTACATCTTTAGTGCAGTCTTATTCCCCTACAGGTAAGACCGCGTTAGGTTGGGTCCAGGTAGCGTGGGAAAAACCGAAACGAAAGTAAACCTTAAAACTAATATTAAACTACAGCTGAATAGCAGCTGAATCTTATTTTTGTGAGGTTGCACTGTACAGCCAATAAAATTAAGTGCCTTCGTTTCTTTGTAGATACCAGTTGTGATAGGCCTTGCATACATTGTCATATCAGACAAGTGGGAGGAGCATAAATTAAAAAGAGCTGCTGCTGCCCAAGCAGAAAGTGACCAAAGCGCATCAGAGGTCCCGGATACAGACATAGAAGGTGTCGTAATAAATTATTGTTGTACAGCGGTTTTCTACATTGAAAGAAGAGATGCTTTGACTGCTTTAGACCCCGGGGATACTCCCATATAAAACTGAGGACGGCAAATTTTGAAAAGAACCACTAAGAGGTACCTAAATCAGATCTGTAGGTGTGGTTTGAAATATCTTTCACCTCAAAGAGGTAGCAATTCTAAGACAACATATTATCTCCTGTCATATTTTTTTTGGCTCAATACCCTAAAAGGTACCCGCAAAAGCCCCCACTGAGACCCTTTTGAGACTGAACACCCTAAGAAGTACCAAAACTTCTTTTTTAACCCCTGAAAGGTACGACGAGCACCCCCGTCCTTTCTATATGAGAGTCCCTCTCCCCAGGCTTTTGACTCGCCTCAGAGGAAAGGACAAAGTTTAAAGATTAACTTTGACTCTCTGGCCATCAAGGTAAAGAAAAACGTTTGATATCACCCCTTAACGCATTTCAAGGGTACCATGGCTTTGACAGAAGTGAAGGTTTCTTAAACACAAGTAAAAACCACATTTAGAAGCACCTTCCTCACTGATACATTTGAAAAACGTCGAAAGCATCGTTTTCATCAAAATCAAAGGTGACCTTTGTCACCTTTGACCGATAAGTCAAAGGTTTGTGTCAGTGGTACAGCTGCAAAAAATATTTACAGCTGTTTTTTGATTTCTTCTAGGTATTACACATAAAGTTCACTTGGACAAGGAAACTCTGAAGAAACCCGGTCTGTGTGATAACCCAAACAAAACACAGATTCTCTGTATCACCTTCTGGACTTCATTTCTAGTTTTTCTTTATGATGGAATGCAGGTAAAAAGTTTGCGCTTGTTTATAGTTTCAGTTAGATATCAGTTAGAGCAAGAAACGTTATTTCTGACTGGTCAAAATATTACACGTGAGTATATGAAAGATCATATATTTGAATTACGGAGAAAGATATGCCGGTTCAGGCCTGAATTTTTTTCAGGCTTTAATTTCACAACTGCTTAAGTTGTGTGCATAACTGCGATGATCAATCATGTCTTCATGGTCGAAATATTGACTCTTATACTGTAACATTGAACTGCACTTGTATCCAAATATGAAGCCCGGTAGAGCTTTGCTGGAGTTTCTTTTTATCGCCAAAGCTACAGAAGGTAACAGTATCGTTTTGATGCAGAACGCAAAAGTTCTGCGTTATGCAGCCCACATGATTCCACAAGACGTTTATAACACTTGCAGTGTCTTATAATCAGGGTTAATCAGTTCATTGGTACATTAGAACGTCTTTCAGACATAATGTAACATATTGTCACAAACTTTACTCCACTTTTATAACTCGGTACCTTGGCTCCCCATGTCAATGAACATTTTTCGTTTAATTCATTCATTCATTTATGTGTTTTCTATCAGGTCATGCTCCCTGCTTTAGCGTAACTCCCTTCTTTACCATATCAACACCCCACTTTGCTCTGGCGACGTAGGATGTGCTGACGCTCGAAATGTCAGCTTCCCAAAACTCGCCATAGCGGTTACCTTACCTTTATCAACTTCAAGTTGATAAATAGCCTGTTTCAAGTTTATACTTGCCCGCTGACAAAGCACAACAGTTTCTGTAGAAGCTAATAACCTTATTTAAAATCGGCAACTGTATGATAGCCGTAATGTTGTATTCTTTGTCAGGGGTCCTATGGAGGGTATGTTTACACATACGCGGTAAAGAGCTCCCTTCATATGACGTCAGCACAAGGTGCATTTCTTACCTCTGTGTTTTGGGTGAGTAATTGTATGACAAAGTTAGCACTGAATGAGGGTTATTTGTTTTAGCTCTCTTAGCATTTTGAATAACACATAAAAGAGTTAACTAGAGTTGTCATTACGGGTCGTAACCCGTAATGCAGGTTAGGGGTGAGTATGCTTGTTGGGTCCTTGATGCTACAGGACGGTGAACTTGCCTGTTGTTGATACGATTTACCCACAAAGTAACAAGTTTGTTACGGTAGTGTAGAAGATCAAGACAACATGTGCCCCAAAACTTAACAAGTATTGTAGAAATACATTTCACACAGGCAAACAGTATTTAGTTTTTCCCTTGTAACTTTTGGGTAATTTAAGTTTTGTACATACCTCTTTAATTTAAAAGAAATGAACGTTTTTTTTAATAACACTTATTTTTTTCTCAGGGATCACTTGCGTTAGGTCGTCTCATATCAATACCTATAGCCTTGTTTTTGTCTCCAGCGGTTATGCTGCTTGTAGATTTGGTAAGTTTATATTCTCATCTATTGTATGATCAGTGGAAATAAAACAACACGTGGCGACTAATAGCCTGCGTTGCAGAAGGAAATTTACCCACGGCCGGTTGCGTCTGCGACGCAGGCTAAGTAAGTGACAGTAATGGGCAATGTAATCAAACGTGACTAATCAAAACAACTACAAATATCCAGTAATAATATCAGAACTCTAGAGATAGATATGCTAGAGACCCAAGCGCTGAGAAACGCGTGTAAGCGATGTTGCGATTGACACCAGTTTTACCTGATTGGATAAAGCACCAGTGCAGAGCCAAAGATCGCGGATAACAACTTTGATAGTCATACTATCTGATGCCTATTTTCGTTAAAAGACCCACGCATACAACTATCTATAATGTGAGCCATGTTTAGAAAGGACAGTGCCTACCTTCACGTTCCGAGATGATGCTGGTGGGTAACGCGGGGATGAACTAGCATCCCATTCAGGAGGGAGTAGAAATACTCTTGGTTCCTTCATGCTACGGAAACCGATAATCTCCGGCCTAATGAGCAAGTAGTCTTGCCGGAAAAGCAAACACTGTACCTACCTTCCCAAGTTACTTTTAATTATGAAGTCACTTCTTCAGTTGATACTTTTGTATGTTGTCGTCTGATATTGAACTTCTTAGTCTCCCACCGCTTCCTGTACCTGATCTTTTACTTTTTCCCTTCACTCTCGACAATTTATTCCAAACTCTAAGGGATTGTTGCAATGTTAAGGTTCAATATTTTTTCAGATTGGCTGCTTGGTATCTAGTTTACTAATGTTAGCGTTCAGAGCAAGTGAATCTGCGCTATGGATGGGAACCAGCACATTTGGTCTTTTTATGAGCAATGTATTTCCCACAAGCGTGGCACTAGCAGAGCAGTACTTCAATGTTACAGGTTTGTTTAACAGCTGCCTAAAGGGGAAGGGGAGGGGGTACTCAAGCTCCGACCCGTGGTCCGAACACTTGCCCGTCTTTAGATCATTTTTGACGGAAATGGTAACCCTTTAATTTACTGCTATAGATTCCCGATTTCTTTACGGTATACCCTTAGAATGAAGCTGATGATGGGTCCTTTAACAATAAAATGAAATAGCTAGATGACGACAGCTCTCCCAACAGGCTTTTTGTATGTGACTTCAACTCGTGAAGTTTCTGCCTTAACCTGAAAAATTGTACTCTTCCCTAGCGAACCTCCCGTTTATTCTATCATAGGGAGTACGTATTATAGCAGCGACAGCCTTACCCCCTCTCGTGCGGTATTTTGAGTATTGTGGGGTTTCTAAATTACAAGTAAACAACTACACAGAGATGCGTGCTTGCTCAGTGAAATTACAGCATCTTATCACTATTTTTTTTAAGATAGCATGTTAGTCTGAAACGAACCGTTTAATTCGTTAACGTCAGTGGTATCAAAGCCGGAATTTTGTCATTTCTAGTTGTTGTTTTGAGGAAAGCCAAGAAATGTACAAAGTTTTATAACGCACGCTCTGATGACGGCCTAACGAAGGACTTCCTCGCACCAAACCTGTTCTGAATTAAAGAATTTAGTACATGATAATTTATATAAAAATGTTTGCATATCTAAAATGTCCCACAAATGACTCGACTTAGCTTTTTAGTATACAGACGGGCCTTTTGGACGAGTGTGAATACAAAACAACAGGTCGCGAGGTGGACAAGTTACAAAATACGGGCAAAATGGTGCAACTTCAACGGGAAAAAAAATGCAAAATTAAAATAGCAGAGTTTTAAAAGTTACCTTTGGTTCATAATCTTCTCCGTCCAGTTCTGAATATATGAATGTTCTTGGCGATGAAAATTCATATATTAGGAATCCATGCTGCAACAGAATCAAGTTGTCTTTAAAACTCTTGCAATCCAACCTGTTTCTGCATCGTTCTTGTGCTTGCTGATTGACAAATTGTTCCGCCTCTGCTTCTTCTCGCTGTAGTGTCAGGTTTTTTCGGATCACGTAAGACATAAAAGTGTTAAAAAGTCCGTAAACAGAAAGCAAAATTCAAGAGAAGCATTTGGCTGTTTCATGAGTTGAACAGAGTTGAGCGGAGTTGAGCTGAATGAAAAAATTGTCCGACGCGTGTAACCAGCATGAAGGGTGTTTTGGCGGGAAAACATATTGTAGCCGTGACGAATGCCGGGAAAGTGAACATGATCCGTCAAGAGGGTATGGTTGGGAGGAGGGGGTGGGAAAATCGCAGTTGGTAGTAAAGTTTCAGCATTTTGTCAGCGATCAGTTAACCTTTCGTTTCTCTCCTCAGCTGGTTGTAAAATTTTGACCAATTTTTAAGTTATAAGTCAAACCCCAACCAGGAAAGAAATGCAAAGGAATTTGCAATGCTTTGATAGCATTTTGATTGCTTGTGCACGCCAAGACATACGTTGAAGCCAAGTAGCCAAGTAGGCGCAACCTTAATCCACACAATGTTAAAAATTTTAATTTTAATTTTAATTTTCAGGCACGGTGACCTGCATGTTTGTTGTTAGTGCAGCTATAGGAGAGATGATTATTCCACTCATCGTGGGCAAAGTTTTTGACTATGTAGGCGCCATCAGCTTCTTAGCGGAGGGATGCATTTTGTGTTTTGCGGCATTCGGAGCCTATTTAGCAGTGCTAATAATAGGAAAGGGTGCTGCATCTCACGACGTCCATCGGAGAGAAGGTAAGTTGCTCGGAATGCCATAAACTGCCACTTATAAGCCCTCCCGTTCATAAACCTCCGCACCGGTTATAACCGGTTATAGATCCATCTATCTGTAAACAAACTACTACTTCTGATTATTAGCGATTTTTTTAAAGCTCAAAAACCAGTATATGAGAAACCCATTTCAATCAACACTGCTATAGCTCATTTCGAAACGGTCTTTTATTGCGCTTAAGCGCCCCCCCCCCCCCCCTCCTCCTCGCCACCAAAACAAAAATCAAGCAGACTCTTCAGATTTTAAATGTATATTGCCGACGCTGTCATCCGCCGNTTCGAAACGGTCTTTTATTGCGCTTAAGCGCCCCCCCCCCCCTCCTCCTCGGAAGTAAGCCCCTCCGTTTATAAGCCCACCCAAAACCCAAAACCCCTCATGAAGTTGTATAAGCCCAGGCCTTATAAGCAGCAGTTTTAAGTACCACGAAACAAAGTTGTTATTGTCATTGGATTCTAAAGAGACTGCTGAGTAGCATCGGTGTGGCGAGCAAATGAAACACTGAGATGATAACATCAGTACTTCAAGTTGATAAAGGCAAATTAACCACTGTTCCGAGTTTGGAAGAGCTGACGCTTCGATTTTTAGTTCCTACTACGAATAGAGAACTAAAAATCAGAAAACAAAAAACAACAATAACAACAACAACACAAAATAGAAATAGGCCACTTTGAAGGACCCTCGCGATCGGAACACGCGAGTGTTTTCTTTCTTATTATGGCCTGAAAGCGGCAAAGAAAACCGAAGATAACTTAATTTTGGGATTTATTTTTACCTTGTTATAAAATTCCTAGTCAATAACCACTATCTACATATTGTACCATCGTTTCAGTAAACTTATTTTTTTCATTTCAGTGATTGGAGAGGGAGCTGAAGAAGGAGGGGACGAAAAGATGCACAGTAACTTAGAACAAGATTCAGATCAATTGGTTTCTAAAGATGCTTCAGAAGATAAAACGCCGAACAGATAACGAACCTATGAAGAAAATGACGTACAGTAATATCAAATAGAGTAGACTGGAAACAAGTAACACAAGCTGAGAAGAAGAATGTTGCTAGCTATAGGACCCTGGGGGCAAGGTTACAGTCGTAGAAGATGACTATGTCACTGGATGATTACGTCATTAGAAGTGACGTCATGTAAGGCGCCTATGTATCCGCAGTGACCTTTATAAGGAGTTGATGCCATTAGTCGCGGCTTAGAGCGTCAAAAAAGAATCATTTAACGGTGATATGGAATTACGAGCATTAATTAAAATGGAAGTTTATGAGAAACTCTGAACCGATGGCCTCTCTGAACTCGATATATTGATATTTGACAATCCCGCTTGTTAAAAAGAAACAAAATTTCATTATTGCACGGTGGATAGCCAATGGAAATTGTTCGTAGCTTTGCACCGGGTCATGTAAAGTTGCGCGAAGTTTTGACCATTTTGGGTTTTAAATGTGATGACATAAGTTACCGTCACCTTCATCATCACTGTCAATGTTGTCCCGACACAAGAGAGGTAGTGACCACTACAGTGATGTGGCATTTTCGAATTATCTTTGTTTCGAATGTGGACCAGTGCAAAACGTTTTATATAAAAATAGAATAAGAATAAAATTCCTATGAAATGTTTTGCACCAGGATATCTTTTAGATGAAGCAAAAGTATGACTCGTGAATTGCTCCATATCTTTCATATTAGCTTACTACTAGAAGGATTAAATCTCTTTTTTCTATTTCCGCTTTATCGCGCAACTGACCACGCTATGTAAACAGCCCATATTGAGTAGAATGCCAACTATTTTGTACAGAGTGTCAATAGTTTTGTATTCACTATATGAAATAAACCAAACTATTAACAAGGCGTTTCAAAGCTTACGACAAGTTGTGTTATTACCACAAATTTCATAAAGCTGGATTTTATCATTTAACGAGGAACCTGGTATATTCTCCCCCCCCCTTTTTTTCCTCCCTTTTATATTCAGCAATCGATTTCCCCGGAACCAAAATGTAATGGAAGTATTCGATTGAAAACTGTGATGCATACTGTTAATTAATCCATTTCAGTCATCGTTCATCTATCCACCTGTACTTAACTTATGATAAATACTTTGTCTATGAGGAGATGCCCGCGAAAATTTTAACTAAGCAGTAACGCACGAACACTGCGAAGTGCACACCCAGTCCTTACGTGTACGCGTCTCTCTTCGCCCACCAGAAAGGAACGTCTGATCCTAGGTTGTGGTATTCTAAGCTTAAACGGTGTTAACGTTTCAGAAATTATTTGATACAAACACGACCGTACCTTTTTGCGGTCGAGCCTTGACCAATGCGCAGCGCGAGTCGTACAAGTTTAGGAGACTGGTGACAACTTTATTTTCTTGGACTCTGAACTACGGACTTTGTAACGAGAGCTTGACTGCTTTTGTACTGTTGTGGTGCCTGCGACGGTGCAAACAACCAACAGTTTGTGTGCGATCAAGCGACACAAAGATAAATCTACCACATATAGTGCTTTCGTAAAAAAGAAATCCGACATCAGCTATGGAAAACTTTGTTCAGAACTGGAACATTTGTGGTGAATCCTGTTGTGGAACACGAATGAAATCAAACACAGATTGGATGTCGAGTGGGTCGCTCGGGCGTTCGTTTACAAGATTGTGGCCGACGTTGAGCATTCCAGCAGGATAAGAAGAGGTAAGATTTAAAAAAAATCGTAAATCTTTTTACCGGTAGAATGTAATAGGTAGCTTTCAAAGCACAAATTTTTCGTCTCATGATCACGAGCGCGGCAACAGCTTTGCTTTTCCTCTTAGGGATAGAGGGGAGGAGTTGTTGGGGGAGGGTCTTGTAAAATTAGACTGGACTGGACTGGACTGGACTGGACTGGACTGGATTGGATTTGTAAGATATGGATTTGTAAAACGTGGACTGCCAGTAAAAAATTTCAAAATGAAATTTGTTTGATGGTTTAATTGATTATTTGTTTGTCTGAAATATTTTACAATTTACATTTTATGGAAATTGATCATTCAACTCGAGTTCTCACTAATCATTATCTCCTTGCACCTTCACTGCTCACGTTCATGGCTTTCCTGTCTCTACAGCCAATTCTTGAGATACATGTTTTTGTCAGTGTGGCCAATTTAATGCAGAGCACGGAGTTCAACAATTTACTATTGTTACACTTCATAAGCTGTAAACGATCAACTAACTATCAGGTCATTATCAGGTCATTCTTGACCTATTATCAGGTCATTCCTGGGTTTCTGAGAAATTCTGAAAAATCTGACTGATTTCTGTAAAATGGTGGAGGCTGGTAAGGATCTATGCCTGTTTCAGACCTAAGCAAAAAATCAATACCCCATTTCAAACCTCTAAAATTACTAAATGGCTCTGGTATTTCACTACAGCTAACCAGAATTGGCTTTCATTTGCAAGAACACTTGAGAAGAGCTACAAACAATAGTTCCTTGTAAACAAAATACCCAATGCTAAGCCAGAGTGAAAAACATACCCTGTTTCAGACCAAAATGGTTAAAATCTATATACCCTTTTCAGGGCCATAGCTAGTAACAGGCAAACTGAGACACTTGCCTCAGTCATTTTTTTTTAAAATCGTTTTTAGTGCAGAGTGCACTATTGGGATGGTTATGGGAGCTGCCTGCCGCTAAGGAACTAAGGCGATATGGCGCTATGGCGCTATGGCACTATGGCCCTATGGCGCTAAGGTGTAAACTTTAATGTTTGTTTAATTAATTAATTTCAATTAATTAATTAGTCTAG